ATGGCTGATATGTTGGCTCAGGTACTGTGAGAATGGCTCTCTGCACTCAATATGCAAGTCATATGGCAAATTCCCCGAGAACTTGGTCGGCGTCTACACAACACAGGTTCTGCAAGGATTGCAATATCTTCACGATCAGGGTGTTATCCACCGAGACATCAAAGGTGCCAACATCCTCACCACCAAGGACGGCAAAGTCAAGCTCGCAGACTTTGGAGTTTCGACAAGCACACTCGCAGGCGGGCAAGACAAGGAAGCACAGGTCGTTGGTACCCCCTACTGGATGGCACCAGAAATCATTCAACTTTCCGGCGCCAGCCCTGCATCTGATATCTGGAGTGTTGGCTGCACGGTCATTGAGTTGTTGCAGGGCAGGCCGCCGTACCATAACCTTGCGGCTATGCCCGCGCTTTTTGCCATTGTCAACGATGACCATCCGCCATTGCCTGAGGGCATTTCACCGGTTTGCGCCCCGTGCCCCCCCTATTCTACGCCTGGGGCACCTATGACTAACACGACGTAGGCGTCTCGCGACTTTTTGATGCAGTGCTTCCAGAAAGATCCGAACCTAAGAGTCACAGCGCGAAAACTTTTACGACACGCGTGGATCATCGGGTGCCGAAGAAGCGATGCCCCCGTTTCCAAGGCGCCAGCTAATTTCAGTCAAGCCGTGGAGGAAGTGAAACAGTGGAATAAGGCTCTCAAGTCGTCCGAAAGCTCACTTAGGGCGTCCACCGGTTCCGACAGCGGGGTTCCCGGGATGCAAGGTCATCCCGGGTCGAGATACAGTGCCAACGAACCACTCCGACCGAGCCTGATCACTCAGCCCAAAGGACCTCTGGCTCTCGCGAAACCGAGACGAACACCTGAAGCCTTCAGGTCTCCAGAGCTTGCTGGTAAGCAATCATTTTGGTGTGGTTTAAGTCTGATCGAAGACGGCATATTGACTTGCTAGTAGATGACGACAATTGGGACAACGACTTCGCGACGGCCATTTCACCGAGCGCACTGCACTTGCCTCATTTGAAGCCGCAGGACAACTTTGGCGGATTGCTCTCCGCAGATAAGCTAAAAGCATTCGCTTCGCTTACGGATGCTCGCAACGACTCGGAAAGTTACGATGACGACTTTGAAGGGGAACTGTTGACTATCAAGGGGCCGGGGCAATTTACAGATTTCGACTTCCAGGAACAGACAATTCGTCCGACACCTCGCAAGAAGAGCGACAAGTACCCAGAGCCGATGAAGCAGCAATCTCCGCCCAAGCCAAGTCCGCGAAAGGCTGGCCATGCGAGAAACCCGTCTCGTCCTAAATCTCCTGTCAAGCCGCAGCTAGGCCCCAGCAAGTTTGAGATACCAGCTCCTCCAGATCTGGCCTTCAGAGAGCAGAACACAGAAGACTACTCGGATTTGTTCATGGAAAACGATTTCAACGATGGTGGACTTAACCCTTTTATCAAAAAGGTCGACTCTCCTCAACTATTCCACCCTTCAGATCTCACGAGCCTGCCTCGTTCGACACAATCGCCCGTTCCAGGAAGCTCGAGAAGGCCGCCTAGCGCGAAGCTGCGGCCTTCAGTTTTGCCGGATCGGCCCATGCGAAGGACGAGATCATCGATTGAGATTCAAAAATTTGCCGAGGACGAAGGCGACGAAGATTTCTCCGACATTTTCGGCCCAGAAGATGCAGTCACAGAGAGGGAGGAGAGTGACAGGGGCTCAGAAGATGGCGGCCTCATGGTGTTATCCAAGTATTCCAACAACTCATGGCTCGGAGACGACGAGGACGAGGATGACCCTTTTGCTTCAATGGACCCAGGGTGGGACGAAATGGATCTGGAAGCAAATATTGCCAGGGACAGACACGCCAGGCTGGCGGGAAAGGTGGAAGAGCTCGTGCGGTCTTTGAAAACCTCGGAAGGCGAGGAAAAGCTGTGCGAGCTATCTGAAGACTTGGTAGGTCCACTCTGTCTGTGCCCCGAGAGGCGTCTTACTGACGTATGTAGCTCGCCCTGCTTTGGGAGAACACCGAGATCAAAGATCTCATCCTCAGTGCTCATGGCCTCTTGCCGATTTTGGAGCTTCTCGAGCCGTGTACAGTTAAGAGCAGGCAGCAGATGATTCTGTCTCTCTTGAAGGTCGTCAACACTGTACGTAGCTTCCCCCTTGTCGCGTAACTGGGCACCATGCTAATTCGTTGATAGATTATTTTGGACGATGTCGAGATCCAGGAAAACCTCTGCTTCGTCGGTGGCATTCCAATCATTACAAAATTCTCGGCCCGGCAATATTCCAACGAAATTAGACTCGAAGCAGCAGCGTTTGTCCGGCAAATGTACCAGACGTCCACGTTGACCTTGCAGATGTTCGTCAGCGCTGGTGGTTTGAATGTCCTAGTCGAGTTCCTCGACGAAGACTTTGACGATGCCCGGGATCTAGTTTTGATCGGCGTCAATGGCATCTGGAACGTCTTTGAGCTTCAGGGCCCCACGCCAAAGAACGACTTTTGCAGAATCTTTTCGAGAAGCAAGATTCTCTATCCTCTTGCTCTGGTACTCCACAGAGTCCTCGATGAGGAGGGAGAAGATGAGCTTTCCGAACTGATAGAGGGCCGAATTGTCAACATCTTTTACCTATTTTCTCAAGCTGAGAACTATGTCAAGGAGGTTGTCGCTGATCGGCAAGTGTTGAAGAGTAAGTCTTGTGTTAGATGAAGCCATGTCTCATTACTAACAGCTCCATAGGCGTTTTGAAGGATTTGCGACGAATGACACCAAATCATCAGATCACAATGCTGAAGTTTATCAAAAACCTTTCCATGCTGTCTACGACGATAGAAACGCTACACACAGCTGACGCCATTGAGTTTTTGATTGACGTCCTTGGCTATAGCATGAAGAGGGGACACCAGCATTTCCGAGAGATCTCCAATCAGGTCCTCAACACCCTGTTCAACCTCTGCCGTCTGAGTAAGGAGCGGCAGGAGGACGCTGCTGTTGGTGGCATCATTCCCTTGCTCATGAAGATCATGAACACAGATCGGCCACCAAAGGAGTTCGCGTTGCCCATACTATGCGACATGGCCCACTCGGGAAGCAAAGGTCGCAGATACCTCTGGCAGAATAAGGGGCTGGACTTTTACGTCTCGCTGTTGGCCGACCAATACTGGCAGGTTACGGCGCTGGATGCAATTTTCATATGGCTTCAGGAAGAAACGGCAAAGGTCGAGAGTCACTTGCTCGACGGCAAGTTTACAGACGCAATCGTTGCCTGTTTCCACACCAACAAGCTCAACTCTTTCGATGCCAACCTATTGGAGCCCCTATTGAAGCTCCTGCGCTTGAGCCCCTCGATATCAGGCTCACTGGCCAAGCCGGAGATGTTTGCCGGCATCGGCCAGAGACTAGGCCACAAAAAGGCCGTTGTACGACTGAATTTACTACGTCTCGTCCGCAACATTATGGACGCATGCGAGCCGGAGATGCTGGGCATGGGCAACGGAAGCAGCTCCTTGAACGTCAAGCAAGTTAGGTCTCTGTTTGATACGATCCAAATGCTGGCCGACAAGGACACTGCTGTGCTGGTTCGCAACCTCGCGTCTGAACTTGTCAAGTCGCACAACGAGAGCGAACTTTATGATATGCCCTCGGAGAGAAAGGGCTCGTCTGGATCGGTAGCCTCCCGGCGCTCGGGGTCCGGACCCAGACGGAAATCATCATATACCCCGCCCGGACTTCATCATGCCATGTCGATGCCTGCCACACCGACGCAATCCCAGTCCCGCCATCATCGGCTTTCACAAATACCACCAGGGTCAGGAGGCGCGTATATTGAAGTGGCCGCGAGCCCGAGAAGGACCGCTGTTCAGGAGCGCGAGGCCATCTTGTACCGTCCCAGGAGCAGGGATGGTGCCACAAGCATTCCCAGGCGGGTCAGCGGCGAGATGTCGTCAAGCATGCCTACAGGGCCATCCTCGGGCAAGAGCAGGTTGCCTCGTCACTCGTTTGCAAGACCCAGCAGCGCATCTGGGCAACCCCCCTTAATCAGATCCGAGAGTTCTCTGTCGAATAAAGAGAACCTCAGCAGAAACACATCAGCCGTGTCAGCACCGGCTGCGTCACCTGTGCTACCGACGAGTATGGCCAACAAGCGGCGAAGCAGAGCTCCAAGTTCGGACGTCAAATGGTCATCATAGTAGGGGCCATAACATCTCAGCCATCACCGGGCTGTACATTCATTTTAGGCTTTTTTCTCTTTTCTTTTTCCTGTTTTGCATGTGCGGGTTGTCGGCTCGCAGGGCTTGGGCAAATGATACCTCGTGGGTATACACACGGCTGGCTGGGATGGGGAGAAGGAGGCATGATTTATAACGTTGCATACGTTTTTCTCTTTTCTGATACGAGATGAAGGCTGCTATGAGTCTTGGACGGGGGAAAGATGAAATGCCAAAAGGGGACCGCACTGAGATTCCTTGTGCAAACGTTGGCTTTGGGGTGGTAAAAAGTCCTCTAGGAGGGGAAAAGAATCTTTTGTCCTTTTTTTGTTTGCAACTCGGATCATGGGAGGGAGCTTCAGTTTTGAGCTCCCTGCGATAGCGGATGGCATTAGAAACAAATTCATGGCAAGCAATTGCACCCCCATCTAACGGCTGCGGCCGACTATAGTTTCCTATGTCTGACTCCTTGATGCTGACGTTTCTGATCGCTCTTCTTACTTTCATGATGAGATGTCTCCTGCAGAAACCTGTCAAGCAAGCAAGCAACCAACCGCTTCCCCCATCATCAGAAGACGTCAAGATGGCTCGGAGAGAAAACTCCTCTTCTTGACACCCCCCCCCCCCCCCCCCCCCCCCCCCCCCCCCCCCCCCCCCCCCCCCCCCCCCCCCCCCCCCCCACCCCCCCCCCCCCCCCCCCCCCCCCCCCACCCCCCCCACACCCGAAAACCTCAAAAGTGGGCGGGGAGAAAACCCCCCTTCTCCCCCCCCCCCCCCCCCCCCATCCTCAGACAAGCCACGCATCGCCGCCCAGAACCTCACTCCACACCTGTCCCTCGGCCCTCTCGAACCCCTTTGCGTCCTCCACGTCGGCGGCGCCAAAGTTGCGTCCGTACAGGTGCGGGAAGGCGGAGGGGAATTTGCCCGAGGGGGGGAACTCCCACCTCATTGAGCCTGAGGCGGCGAGGGGCGCGTAGGGGAGTTTGAGGAGGTGTAAGCTCGTGGCGGATGAGAAGAAGAGGTTTGCTGTGTTGAGGACCTGGTGATGTTTCCAGTGTGAGATTTTTTTTTTTTTTTTTTGGTTTAGGTAGTTTGATTGAGTGCATGATTGAGTGTATATCAGGGAGGTGTGGAAAGTCGCGCTGTGTAATAGTGTGTGGTGGTGGTTGTGAGTATATGTATGAGAGTGAAGAGGCGAGTGTGAGGGAAATCGAGAGCGGAGGGATGTGAGATGTTGACTCGAGAGGACAGCACATGGAGAGAAGAACGGAGATGGAGAGCAGAGGAACATGACCACGGAGAATCCGGGTATGAAGAGAAGGAGAGGGAAGTAAGAGAGATCATTCGTACCTGTTCCGCCGTACTCAGATGGATAAAGCCATCGTTGCGATCGAGGTCCGAGAGGGGGAACTCGGTCGGCAGCGGGGACGGCGGCGCCTCGGGGACGATTTTGTAAATGTATTGCGGGGTCTGCGCGGGTTCGGCCATGTTTGCAATCTGTACGGGAGGTCCGATATAACGAATCGGAAGGTGGGTGCTGGAAGTGTATGTCTACCGGACTGCCGATGCTGTGTGAGAGGAGACGAATGACTTGTGAGTGGTTTGTGTGCAGACTGCTTATTTCATCATCCCACCTCCCAAGGTAAGGTAAGAGGTCGAAAAGCCTCTCCCCACTTTCCTCTCCTGGAAGACGTACAGGCTTCAGCTCCGGCGGCTTACACCAAGGAAAGATGGAAAACAACACACCTTTCTTCATCTCTCACACACATGTCACCAACGAGCGATCAAGACACCACCAAGATCGTCATCAATGGTTTTTTATTGTTACAGAGACCTCCCGGTCCGTGTTTCCTTATCTCATTGATCCCTTTCCACAGCTTTCCCATACTCCGGGACGAAACCACGCCCCAAAGACAAAAAAAACCGCCCCCCCCCCCCACCCTTGGCCGCCCCGCCGCGCCCCCAAAGTTCCAACCCAACCTCCATCTCACACCTAGCTTGGATCACTAACTGTTGTAAAAAGAGACATCTACAAAATTTTGCAGATGACTAGTAAACTTTTGCTTTTTTCCCTTGTCTCTCTCCCCTTTCAATCCCACCAGAGATGCTGAAATACCGCTTCGAGTGTGTAGTCAAATTAGATTTGAGACAACCATAGCACCCCCAGCTGCATCCTCTCTATCTCTCTCACTCCCCTCTTCGACTTTTTCTGCTTTGTAGACTTCAAACTCTTGCTTGATATGGCTCAGTCTGCGCCTTTTGAAGCAGGTTCACCACCACCTTACATGCTCATCCCCACGCGCGCCTATCGACGCGACGATTACTGTTGAATGTTGGGATCCCAGACTACCCTTTCGTCGGCTCAGACTCGCTGGTAGAATAGCAGGTAGGCAACCTTGTTGTCTTTGATGTTGTCCTTGGCCGGCTTTCCCTTGGACGCGGTGCCATTACCGTTGGCCACGGCGCTCCACTTCTTCTCGCCGCCCTTATCACCGCCCTTGGCAGAGGTGGTGACCTCCTTCCAATCATCGCCCTCGTCGTCGTCTGCCATGGCGCCGAACCGGTTGGTCGACGCGTCGCGCGACGCGGGACCTGATCGGCCCGTGTCCTTGGCATCCTCCTCCGCACCAGCCTCGGCCACGTCCTCACTGCGGACACGTCGGATGATCGTATCATCCAGGCGGATCCACTCATTTTCGTCTTGCCGTCGCACATCCACTGTGTAGTGACCGCCGTTGGCTTGCTTGCCGTGGTGGTAGACGACACCGATGAGCCTGTACTTGGGCATGCCGGCACCCTCGGAGACAAGAGCGTTGCGTCGTCGCTTCGAGAGAACTTCCGCGGGGAGCTGCAAGTCGAGAGGGTAACCGACCTTCTTGCCGATCTTGGTCGTTCCTTCAGTGTCGAACTTGAAGCGCTTCAGGTGAAGGATGAGAATCGGGGGCAAAGTCTCAATCAGAGTCTGCTTCGTCATGGGGGCAGCATCGCCCTGTAGCCTCTCGGGCACCGTTAGACCCTTTATCGCGTCGACAACGTTGTGAATGTACGGGGCGCCAATGTCCAACTGCAGGGACTGGAAAGGCTCCGTAGTCACCGAGTCCTTCACACCAGGACGGCGAAGCTCTGATCGATACTGTCCACTAAACAAACGAGTGATGGGCGTCGTCGAGCTGGCTCCGGACGAGCGCGTCTCAACTGCCCTCTGTCTCGATCCAACTTCAAACCACCCGTCCGCGCCGTCGTTCGACTCAACAACGCTGGCGGCGGAGGATGTAGGCCGGGTTTCAGCGGCCCCATTGGAAGAGCCACTCGTTGACATTACTTGGGCGCATTCTTCGTCGATGGCATTGAGAATCAAACCCAGGAACTCCTGAGCATCTTGCTGGTGTCCACGCTGTAGAAAAAGGTTAGCGACAAGTAAGGGAATGAGCCACGGAACGACATACTCTCATGCTAGCAAACGCCGGGAGAGGCTGGATGGCCTTGTACACGAACTCGGGAATGAACGAATCACCATATTGCTCCAGCTGCTCGCTCTTGAGCTTCCGGCGCAATTTCTCGACCGTTTCAGTCGAGTCGATGACCCGGAATTCCCTCATAAACATAATCATGGCATCTATGACGGGCGTGTCGCTCTTGAACTTGTGCACAGCCTTCTTGCTGACCTGATCCAAGAAGTTGTAGAATGGCGCACAGAAAAGAAGGACTTGCAAAACCTAGACTGGCGTTAGTGGATTTCTCCGCTTGTGGATTCAAGATACTGACTGAATTCATGTAGCACATATTGCCGGTGTTGATCAGGCCTCTCGGCTCGATGAACTGAACCCTGGCAGCATTGCTAACCCGGAAGTCTTGGATGGCAGATGCCAGAGAGTTTGTGTTTCCTGCAGAAAAGGTGGGTGCGCTGCCGTTGACAGCACCATCGCCATTTGTGGTGGCACCGTTGGCTGCGGCCGGAGCAACAGGGCCATTAGCAGCGGGCTGCGCCTTGGGAGCAGCAGCGGCGGCGGCTGCGGAGAACAGTCCACTCCATGACTTCGGGGCCGCCTTGGCGGGAGCTGCCGGAGGAGCCTCGAGCTTCTCTTGCTCCGCGCCAGCAACTTCCGTGCCCTCTGTTGCTTCAGCAGGCTTCGCCTCCTGAGATGCAACTTGCTTGGGCTCTTCTGCGAGCTGGCTGACGCTTGTTGCCTTAGCCTCCTTGGGGCTGCTCTTCGGAAGAGCTGGGATGACTGGGACAACAGGAACGGCAGGGCGGGACGCCGAGGCGTTCGAGTTGCTTGTCGTGGGTCTGGCCTCAGACCCCGGTACATTCACCTTCGGGCTGCCCATGTTTGAGACGCTAGTCGCTGACCTGTCACTCTCCTTAGGAGTTTCAGACGCCAGGGAGTCTGCTCTCAGAGTGGCGCTTTCGGAGTCGGTGTCCTTGGAGTTCCAGGGCGCCAACTTCTTCGCATCGGCCTTCACTTGGAGGCTGTCCTCCGTGCCGCTTTTGGTGGCCGACTCGAGAGCGCCCTCGTGCTGCTCCACAGGCAGTGTCAGATTCTGAGCATTCGCGCTCATCAATCTTCTGCTTCGCCTTGACTTGGGAGCCCTTCTAGGGAACGGTGCTTGGTCGGGAGGTGTCCAAGGGAGCTTTCTTTGTTTAGCTATGAAGCCAACATGAATAGGATCTGCTGGACTTACTGGTGCGCGAAATTCCCTTACATCTTTGGGAAGCTCTGGGCTCTCGGGAGCAGGGGCAGAGGCAGGGGTTGGAGGCGCCGCGGCCGGGTGGAATGGCTCAGCGAAGGGCGTGACGACTGATGAAGACACGACCGAGGACACTACAGAAGGTGTGACGACTGAAGGCTCGGGCGTAGGTTCAACGTGCGGAGGCGGAGGAGGCGGCGGCGTCTGAACAGGGTTGACAGCAGGGACGGGAGGTGGGTGATACGGCGTTGAGAGAGCAGGCGACGGTTGCGAATACGGCTGAGGAACGCTCACGCCGGCCATGGGGACATATTGAGGTTGAGGCATGGCCTGTGGTGACCGCACGTAGGGCTGCTGTTGCTGATAGTGCATGTAGCCAGAGGGCATGCCTCCGTTCTGGTACTGATGCGGCAGCTGATGGTAATACGGCGTCGGCTGAGCGTAGGGGTTCATGTAGTTTGGATACATGGGCTGCTGCTGATACTGTTGATATTGCTGGTATTGCGCATACGTCGGCTGTTGCTGCATCCTCCGTCTGTTACCCCCTCCGGGACCACCACCCATATCGACACCTCCTCCTGGCCCTCCGCCCCCCGGCATGGCTTGCCCAGCCGGCAGATGACGATTGTTCATCCTGCCGGCTTGGGAGTCGTGTATTTGCAGTGATCGTCCACGGCTGGAACTATCACTGCCTTGAATCTGCGGCTTCCTTCAACACGGTTGTCGGCGCGGTCGCAATGGAGCGTCGACAGATTAGTCTGAGATCGGTTCGAGTATCGAGTATTAGGTTGTTTGATCGTGTGGGATGCACGAGAAGGTAATATTTCCAATCGCCTTCAGTCGTGCGTCGCTCTCGTAGGGGTTGCGGGGAATCGTTGAGAAGAAAATGGGCCCGACTAAAGTATTCCGAACGAGCAAAGGGGGGAGAAATAAAATGAACAAGTTGCTCGACACAGGTGATTAATCGCGCAGACACGGAGGGGCGAGCTGCGATGAAGGCAGCAACGGTGAAGGGTCGAGGATTGGGACGGGGCGACGGCTGCGAAGTTAGCTGTGCGGTTGCTTCCAATGGAGATGACAAAAAATTAAGCCGCGCGCGGGAGAGGTAGAACCGTAAACCTGGAGCTAGCGGGCAGCGGGCTCCGGGCTTTGTTGGCGCAAGGCGATTGCCTGAGCCGAAGCCTCGCGCACAGATCACTATTCGATCATCGCAGGCTGGTATTGGGTCTCTTCTTCCGCAATTTGCCCGAAATCGGCCCCACTATAGCTGGCTGGGCCGGTGAACACACCTCAGACGCTCAGAGGTGAGCTCGGTGAGGGTGGATAGGATTCACTCTTCCGTGTCCCGGCGGGACTCTAGCATATACGCGTTGCGGGTGATCCATAGCTCAAGTCTGCACAGCTCCCTTTCAGCTTCTCATTGCTTCTTATTGGCATTAGAGCCTTGAATATCCCAGTCGCTCATCTCTCTGAAATGAACAATGCATGCTAGCTTAGCCTCGACGCTATTGTAAGTTTTGTTACGACGACTCAGTATACGCCCGGAACATGTACACCTGCTGGTTTAAACAAAATGCTCCTGTGCGCCTCGCTGAGGATCCATCATCGACAGCTGATTCACTCGTCCTTGAAGATCCAGCGTCCCCCTCCTCTCATTGCTTCCCGATATCGTTCTTGAATCATTTGCTTCTCCCTCTTCTCGCCTTCTGCCCTCTCAGCCTCGTCTTCCTGCGTAGTAGGGAAATCCGCGTTCCAGAAGCCTGGAGGAGATGCCCTTCGAGCGTAACGATGACGATGTTTGCCCAACTCATTCGCAAGTTGCCATGTTTTAGCCTCTATCCACAAGTCTTCCCTCTCTGCCTTGGACATCCCCAGAATGATAGTGATTCTGTCACCGAGATAATCCTCAAACAATTTGGTGTCTGATGCCGGGGTACGATGGACATTGTTCTTTTGAGCCAAAGCCATGCCGCGAAATTGAGGGCCACAGCAGTTCATGTCTGTACAACCAGGCAAACAGGCTCTGTCTTCTCTGTTCCTGACCACCTCCGAGAATGCGTAGTCGGAACCGCCGTTGAACTTTGGATTGACCTTGAAATCTTCAAGCCGTAGGGAAGTGGCAGGCTTTGACCTTAATGCCCCCTTCTGGGGTAGCGGCTGTGCCTCGACCGTCGCACGATTTCTGGGCTGCCCGCGGGCTGTGGTGGGCTCCGTGTTCTCCTCGTGCTCCCTCCGGCCGATTGGAGCTTCCTTCGACCTGTCCCGGCGTTCTTTATTGAATGGCAATTCCCGACGCTCGGGAAACTGCGGTCCATCCTCCTCCGCTCGACCTGTATCCCGAAGACGAGGTATTGACCGTACTATGGCAGGGGCTTGTTCTGGAGATGGTGCGTTCAATAGCGTACTCAAGCGACCGGGAGGTTGCGGGGTGCGGAAAAGCCCCGCCGGCTCTTCGCGGCCCGTTGTATCATAAACAAAGCCGTCCTCAGCCAAGCTCCTTATGCCTTGAGCGAGCCCTTTCCTTGTTGGCTTCTCCACGGTGTTCAACTGATACGGGCGTACCGGACGAGCGTTAGGGTTGATCGGTGTCAGAACCGCTGTTGAGTTGGGTATCCTGGTAGTCGGAGTGTTGGTGTTGTCGCGCCTGACAAAGACGGGAGCGGCTGTCTGAGCTCGCTCCATGTCAATTTGACCGGGCGTGGCCAGGGCATCAGCCCATAACCTATTCTTCCGTGGCGTGCTTAGTCTCTGACCGACCTCATCCAGGTCCATGCTCTCTTGTTGAAGCTGACTAGTAATAGGGCCAGTAGTAAGATTCGAGCTCTCAATCTTCACCCTACGTCGTCCTTGTTGTTCTGAGGAGGAATCGGCGTGCTTTCTCTTGCCTACAAGGCGCTCAGAGACGATAATAGGCCCGTCTGAGGAAGGCTCTGGTTTGATGCGAATGTCTGAATCCGTTTTGGCGGTCTGTCTCAATGGTGGAAGAGTAACAGCATCGGCGTCCTTAGTACCCTCTGTCGTCTCCCCCTCCGTGGTATCTGCGGCAGACAGATCCTGCGTCTCGACATCTGATTGCACGGGAGCTCTCTCGGCAGAATATTGTCGCAAAGCCCGCGAATTGCTGAGTGTCGTCAAGATCCCGGTATCAGGATCGATTGTCAACCTCGAAGCCAAGTGAGCGCGCGGCCTGCTTTGCTCTTGAAGGCCTTCTGCTGTGTACGCAGCCGCATCGGCGTCACCATCACGTTGCTCCAAGACTTTGATCTTCGTCTCCAATTCTGTCGCATAGTCTTCCCATTTCTTGATCTCCTCCTTCCTCTCGTCCCTTCTCTTATTGAATTCTGCTTTCAGTATCCTGAAATTCTGGTCCAGGGCAGTGTATTTCCGTCGCAGCTTGTGGCTTTCCCGCAGCACGTTCTCTAGGTCGCCTCCATTCTCAGGACCATCTGCAGAGGCGGGGTCTGTGTTGGTGGCTTGGTCGTTGGTGACATAACTCGGCCGAGGGCTTCCTCGAGATGACTCGACAGAGCGATTTTGGTGATGGATTTGGAGGAGTTTCGTCCTCAGCTTCCGGTTTTCCTCTTCCAAGCGATCAACCTCGTCGGACCGAGACTTCAATATTTCGAGCTCGTCTGTGAGGAATGCGCGGGATCGATCGTCCTCCTTAAGCCTCTGCTCGACCTCTGTTGAGAAGCTAGTATCACATTGTCATTACGTCAGGGCATCTGCGTGTACATACCGCTGTCAAGTTGCTTGCTAACTGTTTCACACAATGCTTCGAAGGCATCTTGAATAGCCGCCCGGCCTTCCGGCGACCAGTTTTCCATGATTTACAACGGCAGCTACCAGGACACTTTGAAGCCTGCTTGGGGTTGTGTGGACGTCAGTTAGGCTGAAGCTGGGTTTCACGTGGGTGCGCGGGACGCCAAACTACCTTAAGACGTGCCTTCCCTGAAGCGCGTCGTGCCAAGACATTTCCAGATCGATCTACCCGCCACAAAATGATCCGTGCATCTGTGGCTTAACCGCCCACCAGCCACTTCTCAACTTACAGAGCTCCTGCTTCAGCCACCTCACAGGAACATGCTCTCCTCTAATATCAACTTATGCAGACTTCCTCGACGAGGATTTCTGGATCTCACATTCGAACTTTACGTTATCATACAATCTTTTCAAATTGAAAATGCCCTATTTGCTACTCCTCATTGATTCGCAGTTCCCGGTACCACTGCAACTTCGGGGTGACCCAAGCACAAAGGCCGGCGGTCTGATTCCTTGCACAAACCTTGCGATGGAGACTGACTGCATCGGAGCCACTTCCGCAGTGAGAATACCTTGGGCGGGGCGCAGGAGGAAAATGCAGAGCAACATGCCTTCGAGGCTTCGATCAATTGGTACGGCTGGAATGGCTCGTGATACGGGTACTGGTGGGCCTGCACGGCTACTCCGATATATCTACTCATGAACGTTTCAAAGCTAATAAGATTGAAGACACGCTCTGGTCAGTGGGCCCCCGAAATTCCCCACGGGCTACGGTCGTCCGGCCCGGCAGCTCTTCAACGGTCACCGACCCTAGCGAATGATCGTCGTAGGAGACTGCGACATGGGTTGATTCGTCGACCACAGAGCTGTCTTGTCTCTGACTCTGCAAGAGCTCGGTTGAGGCTCGAATTGGCAATGCCGGGCTTCACATATATCTCGCCCCTCGACCATGCATACCCGCGGGAACACCGGATCACTGATAAATCTGATGACCACAAAGCGCCACGTTTGCAATACCTGACTATAGGGAAACCGACTTATCACAGATGAGGCTAAAAGTACCGCCATTTGCTGTTGAAAGCATATGCGGAAGCTTGGAGATATCTGGCGCTCAAGCTGACTATCGCATTGTGCTTACTTAGGATGGACGAGAATTGCTCTCGGCACCATATGCGGAACTCAGAGCCAAGCTTTGAGAAGCATGTTGCACGTGGTCAGCGACTCTTCCTGCATGGCCTGGTGAAGGTGCTCGGTGTTCCGTTGCTGACAGAAGCGGCAAATACTTTCCAGTCGCCCACAAGATCTTTCACATCCGATGCCTGTTTGGCTACAGCAATCAGCGGGACTCGCAACGCTTGTCGATGCCACGTCTCCGCTCGAGAGATATGTGGCAGACAATCTAGCGGACAAATGCCGGTATCCATGAGCAGGCCCCATTGCTGGTCTCCGCGCCGCCCCCTATGACTTACGGGCTCTCCTGCATATCACTGCGGTGGTTTGTGGTTACATGCCGTTCTAGCGTCTTGGGTCGCAGGTGCGGCCTCGAAGAGGCCAGTGGTCCGGTGGAGACTCCACACAAGTCGCATTCGAAAATGCTTCACATTTGCAGAGATGCAATGGCGCCGTCATGTTTTCCCGGCGTCCGCCCATGAAGCTGTTTCGGGAAGGTCGCGACCATCGCCGCTTCATTTCTCGGGTGACAAGCCTGCGGACTATGCGCCTGGAGCCCACGAGGTCCGCGAGGAAGCCCGTCTGCTGCGTTGCAGCGGTTGGACACAAACCGCAGTTAACGATACCTAGCTTGCAGCTGCAGCAGACATGCATTTAGTTGCACAGTGCACCCAATTCGTTGCGCGTTCGTTGCGTAATGGCTGGCTAAGCGAGAGAACATTCGATGGAATATCGTTGCCAACCAACAATTGCGGCGACAACGGGCACAAGCGAAGATCATCGAATTGAACGACGTGCGGAAGACCAGCAGGCCAGGGCAAGTTTCTTGGCAGTTGTGCAAGCGTCGCGGATAAGGGAAGGGTTGCCGGCGAAGCAAAGTACGAAGCGAAGTGGCCGTCGGTTGAAATGGGTGACCGGGTTCATCCGGTCTACATGATTTCACAGGCCCGGGCGAAAAGCTTACCACCAACCTGAAAGGGAAGACTGGCCGAGATTGAATGCGGCAGATCTGACCGGACCGGAGGTGCATCTCGATGGAACGAACCAATCCTCTGCTCTGGTTCGCCTGGATGAGCATGGCTAAATGCGTTTCCGAAACTCGAAAGTGAAATGAAACTCGTGGGATTTGTGCGTTTATTCCTCCAGTGAGATATCACGAAAAGGAGTTTGGGGTGAGGAGGATGTTGAAAAGGAGGTTGAAAAGCACGGAGCCGATGATCTAGGCTTTTTTGTCATTTTGGTCTTCTCTCTTTCGTGAATGGGGTTTGCCTTTTGATGAGGGGGACGCTGTCGATCTGGAGGGGCCGTCCAAGCCTCGGTTCGGTTTAAACCTACTTTGATGGCATCTCCGACAGGGCTGTTTATCAGCTTGCGTACCTGTGCCCTTGGGTAGCAGGTAGGCTGAACGTCCAAGGCAGATGACTCTTGAGTTGAATGAAAGTGTGACGACTAGACACCATGACACGGGAAGCTTTCTGAGAGCCATCCTCGAGTGTCGGTGTTCCGCCAATGATCTGCAGCAGGTTCACGAGCTTCTCGAAGCTAAAGCCGGAGCTGGAGCTAGAACCAAGCACAAACCACTGACACCAGCAGTGCGAAGGGACCACACTGAGGCATGTGTCATCCCACGGACGCACAACCATCTACAGCAACCACTTACCAGTGGTCAGGCCGGGATCGCGGGGTACGAAACTGAGGCATATGTAGCCGAGACTTCCTAACACAGGGTTAACAATACGCGGATTATGGGCATGCAAAGAGCGCTCGTACGGTGCAACCTCAGGTTGATTATTCAGACATTACATGGACAGCCAAAGCCCGCTGCCCAGGACGCCCGACGGCTGCTAGAGACAAAACTCACCAGCGACCATCTCTCATTCAAGCGCAAGGAAGGCTGACCTTGCCTGATTGTCGACACAGTGTGAGCCAGTATATCCGCGATTCCGCAGTGTACGAGATTCACCCCTCTTTCATTCTCATCCGTCCAGGCTGCATAAGAGGGGCAGCAAGTGTGGCAGTCTGGCAGAGGATTGTGAGACGAGAGACTTATCAGAGCCCACTCATCGGGTGAGGTGGGAGCGTAATGAGTGAGAGACCACTGAGATGAGCAGCATGAGCATGAGAGGAGCGTGTGATGAGGGGCTGCTCAGGACAGGACAGGGAGAGATGCAAGGGACGGGAGCACAGTGGCACGAAATCAAGGATTTCCGACCCCTCGTAGGGATGGAAGGGGTTTAGCGAGGTTTGGGGCATCGCATTTCACAGTGCCTTGGGGCCTTGGGTAACTTTGGGGCCAGGCCTGGCCTGCCACTTTGGCCTGCCAGTGCTGCCATTTGACCTGCCTCTCGGCGATTTTTAGAATCTTACACAGGGGTACCCCACCTGCCTGCCTTCGACATGCTGAATTTTCTGATTGGTATTTTTGTTTTCCCCATGGCAGAAAAAAAAGTGTCGAAAAAAATGGAGGGGCAAAAATGAAATACGGACTGCGCGAGGACAGCGACCGGATGGTGGGGAGGAGGGGGTCTCATGAGCAACTCTACTACGTAGGCTCTAGCAGTCCACTTCGTTCGATCGACTCGAGTGAAAGAAAAGGCACCTTACTCTTACCGTGACCAACCCGGTCTAGAGCATCGACGATGTGAAATTGAATTTGTAGAGTCACCTGCCTTTGAGTTCGCCGTCCCTGGAGTTTGCGAAGAGAAGGGCTCGAACGAAGCGCTTCCATTGCCCCCGACGGCTTATTCTTCGTTCCCCTTCCCCCCACCATCAGAAATGTTAAAGTTTGGTGTCCCGTCCTGTCCGGCCTTATTGGAAGGTTCTTTAGGCTATCAGAAACCCGAGCTTTAAGTATCTTCATCTCAACTGTTTGAACCTTCATCGTCATGGAAGGGGGGCACCCAGGTCTCTGGGGAATTCTGACTACCTACGTAATGCGGTGTGAATATGGCCATTACCGTAGTAGCCCTCAATGGCAAGCCCAGTCCGGGTCGGTTCCCGACGCTGCATTTGTGAGGCAAACTAGCTGCCGCCCCTTTTGGCTGGCCTGATTCTGCCCAAGGAGTTCCAACTGTGTGATTGTGCCCTGCCGGTACCTATCTGAAGCTGACGGGCAGCACAATCTCATCTTCGGCTATGGGAAAAAGGCGCCGGCGCATTTCGGGCATTGATGGCCAGGTTATGAGAGCTGTGGGCTGTAGCTAGGCACAGGCATATGAGGCAAGGCAGGCCGGCCACGATCAGAGATACGTATGAGGGGAACGGGAGATGAACAGGCACCTTATTGGAGTGCTCGACAAACGTAGGCAAGTACCTATGTCACAACCATATCGAACTGGCCATTGTCTAGATGTACCTGTTGTAAGACTGAGGAGTAAGCCTGTCAGATCTATAACGACTTTATGACAACATCAAGGGCGTTCACCAGCTGAATAGTATTACGGCAAGTGAGTATACTGAGAGAATCGAAGTGAGAGGTGAGGTGAGGTGAGCCAACCGTGTCAATCTCCGTCACACACACATACTACTCCGTACACACGCTCATCTTTCATGGACAGTCCCGTCACCAAGTTGCAGTCAAACACAAATGCCGCCTGCCCGGTCCAAGCCAGAAAAGCCCAAGGAAAGGTCAGAAGGGGGCATCCAGAGTCTAGAGACGGGCTCTTCCCCTTATGAGAAGGGACTTGCCTATCTGATTGGTGCTCCGGCGCCTGCCCATCTACCAGATTTTCTTGGGCTCCACAAGGCGGTCTGACAATCCAAATTCGCTGCCTTTTCTTTTTTAACCTTGGCCACTCCCTGGCCGCAACGACCGCTTCCCTCCCCTTCTCTCCCACAACACAAAACCACCACCACCCATCGCAAACCTTGCAAAACCACTACGGAAAAAACACCC